ATTAAGATAACCAAAAGTGACACAAATTGTTAGTGAAATGAAACAAATGTTATGTAAATGTAGTCAATTCTCAGGATTAAGTTAAAACTTTGAGAGAAGAAAATTTTAAAAAAATACAAAAAAAAAAAAAAAAAAAAAGTTTGCTCCCTAAATATTTATTTGACTTTGGCAGTAAATCATTAATTTCCTTTCTAATTAAATATTTCATTCAAAGAAGTTAAATTCATTGATAGTCTTTTCAATTTGATCCAGATTGGAAAGGTTCTTGCTTTTAAAGAAATTGCTTGATGTTTGAAAAAGATAAATTATAAAAGTCATATGAATAGGAATAATTTCCAACTCATTCAACTTGAATAGTGTAATTGTTTGCAACATGAGAGTGAGTGTTATCATGCAGTAAAATGACTCCTTATTCTATTCACCACTAGCTGCTTTTTGTTTGAGAAATGAATGCACTATTTTAATGCCAGTTCACATATGTGTGCATTTTTTTGGCCATTTTGAAGGAAATTATGTACAAAATCACCAAACCAAATGCTCATTATAATCTTCCAGTAGCAATAATACAATTTTGGTTGATGTTTCTGATTTTCTTCCAGTCATTTTGCAGATCTTCAGTTATTATACAAACTTCATGTTTGATTCTTTTCTGTTTATTTTTTTTTTTTTAGCAAATAACTCTTAATTGATTTTAAATAGTTCTAATCAATAGCTCAATGTTAACAAGTAATTTGATTTAGATTTTTAAATCATTTCTAAAAACTTCACATAATTATAGTTTTGGCTGACCTCTCTTTTCTAGTTTTCAAAAGTGAAATCTCTAGTTATAAATTTTCAAAATCAAAATCCTATTGTTGAGTTATTAATAGCAATATTACCAAATGTCAAATTTATATTTCTTATGGCTTAAATTCCATTATGACCAAAGTTAGACTTGCTTTTCCTGTTTTCCATATTTGGTAAGAAATAGTAATATTTAAAATAAGAGAATTAATTAAAAATATATTAGTGTTAAAAAAGAAAAATTAATAATCATTCATTAACAAGAATTTAAGTATAGGTGTTAAGTATCAATATCCATTTACTTCTTTTTATTTCTATGGTTGAATTAATAAAGTCAGAAACAAAAGTGGGAAATTACAATTTTGACATATGAGCTTCATTATGAATGTCTATGAAAGCTAGTCAAGCTTTCTACTAGATTCTTTATCATCCAATGAATTTTAGAATAAAACTTGTTCAAGGGTGAAATAGTGAATTAGGAAAACTATGCACCAAGACTCATGGGATTTCTTGAATTTAAGGAATTCACTTAAAGGTAAATAAATACACAAAATACATAATTTCCTTACATACTTGGAAAATTTAGCCATAAAAATTCATATAGTTAATGATAGTTATTTTTAGCTGTGATTATTTCTAATCTCCAAATCCAGAAACAATGTGAAAAAAGGCTACTTAGATAGGAAAAAGATCAATCTCTTATATCACAATGATATTAATGTAGTTAAAAAAAAATGACAAGAAATTACTTGGTTTGATATTTTGCTTTTGCATTGATAAGAGTTATGAACCAAGAAACTTAAATTATTAGAAACAACTGCATATGATAGAGAATTTTTTTCAAAACCCATCCATTAGCAAATTCTTTGTTCGACAACTACAAATAAACTAATTTTATTAACCCCTATTACTTTATAAGGTGACTGACTAAAATGTATGAAAATTTAAACATAACTGTCTTAATTTTTTATTGTAATAGTTTTTGTATATATCAAAATTATTTTGTCTATAGTTCAGAATTAAGTTTGACTTTTGATAATTGGACAAAATTTGGTAGAATAGCATTAAAACATGTAGAATGAGAGAGTATAATTTGGTTTGAATTGGAGATCCTAATTCCAAGTTTTTCTATTTTTGGATTTAAAAACAGAACAATAACTTCTCGCAATCAAGATGATATTTGTCTGCAAAAAAATTAAAATTATTTACTAGAAAGATTATTTGCATTATTTGAGATCATTAAGCTCTGACTGGTAGATTTATCACACCTAAAATTGTTTGCAGGAGTAAGCATACTTTTGGAATGTTATTTCATAAGAATCAAGAAATAATGGCTAAAGCATAGTTTATATGAATATATGTATGTTTGACTTTTAGTGGACCTCCCTAAATCAACAGTGGAACAAATTCTGTTGTAATGGTGTCATTCTACAACAACCCTATCAGCAGAAAAGGTAAGAAATGTGTTGAAAGTCAATATTGAGGAAAATAATCAAACAAAAAGAATTTAACTTTAGTAACCAATAACACTAGATGCTCAATCAATTATGGTGCAGCAGCAGCAGGAGGTAAAAGAATTAGGATTAGTAGTTAGTGATACACTAAGTAAGTTAAGCAATCATGCCAAGCCCATAAAAGTATGTCACTAACATAGACATACTAGGTAGAGTAATATAAAATCTAGTTAGCAAGAGTTGTCTTTTCATGTTTGTCCATAACCGATACAAGAAGTAAAGCTAACTAGGTTAGCAAGGACTGGAATTGTTGGAGTTTTTCATATAAAAAAAAAAAAAAAAAAAAAAAAGTAGCTTTCGGCTATGAACAGCAGGAAGAGGAAGGAGATGTTAAATAATAAAATCAATCCCAGAACAGACTTCATAGATATAATGGAACATTGACTGTGTAAACCACAAGGAAGGAAGTAGAGTACCCATTTTGTTTCTCTGTAATGTGAGTTAAGTGCTAATTTTTTGATTTTTCAACACTGGACTATTGATGTTTCATTTAATGGAAATAATTTCTAGCTCTAGTTTATCATGAGCATACCATGCTTTCAACTTTTTCTTTTCTGTTCTAAAATGAGCAGTAGTTTCGAAATAAAAGTTACTCTTATATAAAAAGCTTTGAATTTAAACTAGATTGTTGTTTCCATCATTTCAATATGTTCATTTCCTTCCTTCTTGGAGTTCAGAAACCTGTTCCCCTTTCTCTATAAACAATAACCTATATCTGAATTTATACTTTGCAGGCAGTTACGGAAAACACTCTGAAAATTAACACTATGACAATCTCTTTACAATACAAGATGATATGATTACTATTATCATTATTATGTCTAAGCTAAAAATCACTTTATAAAATTCATTTTTTCTTTTTTAATGTGTAACAATTTAAATCAAATTTCAATTTTAAAATGTTCTACTTTGGTAAGTTATCTTATTTCAATAAGACATGCAAAATTTTATGAAAAAATATTGTGTAATTTAAAATATTTGTGCTAAAAATAATTAAATGCTACCCTTAAAGTGAGTGCTGAAAAGTTCTGTTTAACCTACTTCCCCAAAGCAGTATATTAATGAACAAACAAGAAACTAGAGAAATTGTATGCCAAGTGGGTGCAATTGTGAGAGTAAATGTGATATAGCATGTGTGGATGTTATGGCTATTAGTGGCTGGGTTGATTCTTTCACCTAAGCATCCAAAAACTTGTTGAATGCCTTCGTCGCTGAAATAAATTGACAAAGAAAAGACGGAAGGATACAGAGACACTAGAGGGACAGTTTAGGACACTGATTTTATTTCCTTCTTCTGGATTCCAACAAGCTCTTGTTGGGGAATTTCTTCCCGAACAGTTGGCATGTGTTTACCAGTCAAAGGTCTAACCGAGAAAGAGATAGATTCTTCTAGTTTATCTTTGGCGCCAGGAAATCTCTCTTTTTGCACATGCGTAAATTGTCTTTCCTGTCAGAGAGATTTTACTGTTTATTTTATTTTGTACTTTTATTTTATTTTGTATTTTTATTTAATTCCCACAACACATCCCTACCTGATGTAGCGGAGCTACAGTAAGGATGCATTGAAGGCAAAGTTAGTCTTTTATAAGATGTATGTGTGTATTTTATGTAGTAGAAATGGTCATTGTTTCTTGAATCGCATTAACACGCCTACCCGAACGGGTGACGATTGGTTCCTGTGGTGAGTTTTGCTGCATTTCAGGTGTTGGTGATGATGTGTTGCCTGTTAGACTGTGTTTTTTTTTTCATTCTTTTTTTGGGGCATTGATTTAATATTGCTGGCTTCAATCGCTCAATTGAAACCGTTTGTTCATCACCAGCCAATGTCTCTATGATAAAATATTTTTCTTCCTTTTTTATTACTTTGTATGGCCCCAAATATGGAGCTTCCAGAAGTTTCCTAATCCTGTCAGTTCGCAGCCATACGTGTGTTGCTGATTTTAGTTCTTTAGGTATAAAGGATTTTTGAGTTGTATGTAGCTGTCCTTCTGAAAGGAGGGTTATATCCAACTCTTGCATCTCTTTGGCAATTTTTTTTATGTCATGTTTGGTCAAGTCGGGATACTCCTGGTCGATTATTGGTCTTGGAAGTAATAACTGGGTTCCTGTGACAGCAGTAGCTGGGGAGAAACCTTGCTCATTAGGCATATTCCTAATACCAAGCAATATAATTGGCAATGCATCCAACCAGCTCTGCTTTCTTGTCATGATTGCTGTTTTAAGAGTACGGTGCAACCTTTCGATTATTCCATTGGTTTGAGGGTGGTAAGTCGCTATTAATGGAGCCTGTGGAAACCTATTATAGCAGACAGGTCCCTAAACAGTTTGCTTTCAAATTGACTTCCCCTATCTGTGATGACATGTAATGGGACTCCAAAGCGAGAAATCCATGTATGCAGAAATGCTATTGCTATGGTGGTGGTGGAGGTGTCTTGTAGAGGTGTAGCTTCTACCCATCTCGTTGCTCTATCAATGCACGTAAGTACATGTCTAGCTGGAGATGTGTATACTCTGTCATAAGTGGTGGTGGGTAAGAGAGGACCAATGATGCACGGTTTCAAATCTTCCTGATGGTAGAGAGAAAGGTGTGGTTTCTGTTCTAGTGTGTCTGGAAATCTTGGACTGTTGGCATCGTAGACAGCTCTTGGACTGTTGGCATGGTCTTGGACTGTTGGCATCGAGACAGCTCTTGGACTGTTGGCATCAGAGACAGCTCTTGGACTGTTGGCATCGTTTCTTGGACTGTTGGCATCGAGACAGCTCTTGGACTGTTGGCATCGAGACAGCTCTTGGACTGTTGGCATCAGAGACAGCTCTTGGACTGTTGGCATCAGAGACAGCTCTTGGACTGTTGGCATCGTGAGACAGCTCTTGGACTGTTGGCATCGTAGACAGCTCTTGGACTGTTGGCATCGTGAGACAGCTCTTGGACTGTTGGCATCGTGAGACAGCTCTTGGACTGTTGGCATCAGAGACAGCTCTTGGACTGTTGGCATCAGAGACAGCTCTTGGACTGTTGGCATTGACAGCTCTTGGACTGTTGGCATCGTAGACAGCTCTTGGACTGTTGGCATCGTAGACAGCTCTTGGACTGTTGGCATCGTAGACAGCTCTTGGACTGTTGGCATCGTAGACAGCTCTTGGACTGTTGGCATCGTAGACAGCTCTTGGACTGTTGGCATCAGAGACAGCTCTTGGACTGTTGGCATCAGAGACAGCTCTTGGACTGTTGGCATCGTGAGACAGCTCTTGGACTGTTGGCATCGTAGGCTCTTGGACTGTTGGCATCGAGACAGCTCTTGGACTGTTGGCATCAGAGACAGCTCTTGGACTGTTGGCATCAGCAGCTCTTGGACTGTTGGCATCGTAGACAGCTCTTGGACTGTTGGCATCAGAGACAGCTCTGGACTGTTGGCAGCTCTTGGACTGTTGGCATCAGACAGCTCTTGGACTGTTGGCATCTAGACAGCTCTTGGACTGTTGGCATCAGAGACAGCTCTTGGACTGTTGGCATCACAGCTCTTGGACTGTTGGCATCGTGGACAGCAGCTTTGGACTGTTGGCATCGTGAGACAGCTCTTGGACTGTTGGCATCAGACAGCTCTTGACTGTTGGCATCGAGACAGCTCTTGGACTGTTGGCATCGTAGACAGCTCTTGGACTGTTGGCATCGTAGACAGCTCTTGGACTGTTGGCATCAGAGACAGCTCTTGGACTGTTGGCATCAGAGACAGCTCTTGGACTGTTGGCATCGTAGACAGCTCTTGGACTGTTGGCATCTGAGACAGCTCTTGGACTGTTGGCATCAGAGACAGCTCTTGGACTGTTGGCATCGAGACAGCTCTTGGACTGTTGGCATCAGAGACAGCTCTTGGACTGTTGGCATCGTAGACAGCTCTTGGACTGTTGGCATCGAGACAGCTCTTGGACTGTTGGCATCGTAGGGAGACAGCTCTTGGACTGTTGGCATCGTGAGACAGCTCTTGGACTGTTGGCATCGAGACAGCTCTTGGACTGTTGGCATCAGAGACAGCTCTTGGACTGTTGGCATCGAGACAGCTCTTGGACTGTTGGCATCGTAGAGACAGCTCTTGGACTGTTGGCATCGAGACAGCTCTTGGACTGTTGGCATCAGAGACAGCTCTTGGACTGTTGGCATCGAGACAGCTCTTGGACTGTTGGCATCGTAGACAGCTCTTGGACTGTTGGCATCGAGACAGCTCTTGGACTGTTGGCATCGAGACAGCTCTTGGACTGTTGGCATCGAGACAGCTCTTGGACTGTTGGCATCAGAGACAGCTCTTGGACTGTTGGCATCGTGAGACAGCTCTTGGACTGTTGGCATCGTGAGACAGCTCTTGGACTGTTGGCATCGAGACAGCTCTTGGACTGTTGGCATCGTAGACAGCTCTTGGACTGTTGGCATCGTAGACAGCTCTTGGACTGTTGGCATCGGACAGCTCTTGGACTGTTGGCATCGTAGACAGCTCTTGGACTGTTGGCATCAGAGACAGCTCTTGGACTGTTGGCTGTGACAGCTCAGAGACAGCTTGGACTGTTGGCATCGGCATCGGACTGTTGGCATCAGACAGCTCTTGGACTGTTGGCATCGTAGACAGCTCTTGGACTGACAGCTCTTGGACTGTTGGCATCGAGACAGCTCTTGGACTGTTGGCATCGTAGACAGCTCTTGGACTGTTGGCATCGTAGACAGCTCTTGGACTGTTGGCATCAGAGACAGCTCTTGACTGTTGGCATCGCTCTTTGACCCAAGATCGTATGTTTTTCTCCATTTCTGGCCAGAAGTACCTAGCTTTAATCAGTTTTGTTGTTGGCGGGTCCTGGATGAGAGGTGTCATGGAACATGTCGAAGATTCTCCTACTGTAAGTGGTTCAGGTATGTATGGTCTGGGAGTAGATGTTGATAGGTTTGACCAGACGGATGACCCTTGCAGCTCAAAGGCTTTAAGTCGGCTCCTGTATGTGTCGATTTCCTCATCCTCTCATTGTGATTCACTGATAGCTGGTAAATCACAGGGGTCTACGGTAACCGAATATGTGGGTCGAGATAGACAATCAGCAATGATATTTTCATCTCCTCTTATATACTGTACATCTGTGACATACTGTCATAATTGATAAATATCTTTGTTGCTTGTCTGATTTCATCGGTGTTTTCTTTCTGAATGCCAGGGAAAGTGGTTTGTGGTCTGAAAATAAAGTGACATTTCTGCCTTATATGCTGCCAAAAGTTCCCTGTCAAAAGTGGAATATTTCCTCTGGTTTTCAGACAGTTTTTTTTAATAAAACCCAATGGGGACTGGATCACCATTTATTATCTGATGTAACGCTGCACCCACTGCATGGTTGGAGCTATCCGTGACTAAATGGTATTCCGTGGCATCCAGATCAGGGTGCATCAAAGCAGATACTTTGGTCTTTTATAGCAGCGAATGACTCACTTTCAGTCGGGCTCAGTTTTAATACTTTTTCTGTTGGATTGTGTTTGATGGCTTCAGTTAGTGGCAGTAAGACATCTGAGGCTTGAGGGATTAATTTCCTGTAAAAGTTTACCATACCCAGGAATCGATGCAGAGATTTGGAGTCTGTGAGTTCTGGAAAATTTTTGATGTCTTTGACTTTCTGTGTTGTTGGCTTTAATCCTTTCATGCTTACATTATAGCCCAAGAAGTCAATAGAAGAAGATTGTTTCCTTTGAGAATCGAAAGGACTTTCTTGAGATCTTTGTGGTGTTGTTCCTTAGATTTGGAGAAAACAAGTATATCATCGATATATGTGAAAACACAGTCTACATCCATAAATATGTTGTCCATAAATCTCTGGAATGTAGAGCTGCTGTTTCATAGACCAAATGGCATGAATAGGTATTCAAAGAGACCAAATGGTGTTATCACGGCCGATTTTTCTATGTCTGCCTTATTCATGGGAATCTGGTGATAGGCCTGTAGGAGATCAATTTTCGAAAATACAGTTTTCTTGAAGAGTTTAGATCCGAGGCTGTTAATATTTGGTATTGGATATCTGTCTGGTTTTGTCAACCGGTTCAAATGTCTAAAATCGCCACATACTCGCCATTTCCTGGGGTTGACTTGGGAACTAGATGTAGTGGCGAAGACCAGGGGGACTTTGATGGTTTAATAATTCCAGCTTGTAAGAGTGCAGCGAACTCCTGTTTAGCTGATTTATATTTTTCTTCTGACAGTTGTCGGACCTTGGCATGAGTAGGTGTCTATGACGTGTGTTACTTTTGTGTTAGACACTGAAGGCTGTCCTGTACGTGGATTGGTTAGTTTTGGAAATTCTTGGAGGGACTGCACTTCTTCTGGTAGGTTATTATGGTTATTCACAGTTATACACTGAATCTGTGTGGTGACTCGTCCTCCTTGTGTATATCGGTGGGTTTCCTCATCAATGAGCCTGCCCTTTTTGCAGTCTAAGATTAGTCCATAGTGGCGCAGAAAATCTGCTCCTAAGAGGGGGTTGACTGTATCCGCTACTACTACGGTCCATGTGTATGAACGGCGTAGGCCCGGAATCCCAATATCCACTACTGCTTCGCCAAAGCATTTAATGTTATTCCCATTTGCTGCTGATAGTGTTACAGGTGTAGGGTTTAAGTTCACACCGAAAAGCCATTCTCTGTGGTAAGATTGTTATAGAAGCACCTGTGTCTATCACAAAATTGATCTTATTTGTGTTAATGTTGGTAGCAACCTCAAATAGTTGCGAATTGCTGGTTGCTGATGCAATTCGCATTATCAGTTTTCCCGAGGCTTGGGTGGTAGGGTTTCTGGCGGGTGAAGATGGTCTCAAGTGGGCATTATATGACAGCCGGACTTGTTTGGCCACCTACACCATGGTTTGCACGCCCTCGACTTTTTCTGCATAATATAAATGTCCACGACATACTCGAGGCCTCTGGTTCTCATAGAATGGTTCAGAGCTATAGGTCGTTCTGGGCGTGGCGCTGGTGGAGGCAGTAGATCTGGAGTGTCTGTTTGTATGTGGCATAGTGGCGGCTTGTATCATCCTGGGTTTTAAAAATGGTGTTATCTCGTCAGCCAATGTACCCAGTTCCATCAAGGAGGCATTTTTTATTGCTGCTATCACAGGTGTTATTTCCGGGGGTAGTGCCTGAACGAACTTATATCGAACAAGTTCATCTCTGACACCAATCCTGCTGGCTGTCGACATCAGCTCATGGAGATAAGCTGAAGGTCTCCCTGTCATTTGAGTATTAGCCAATAATTTAGCGAACATCTCTGGTTTTGTCCTCTCGTGTCTGGCCATTACTGCGTCTTTTAATTCTGAATATTTTTTAGACGCTATAATAGCGGACAGTAAGCTGGATATCAATTCTGGAGGTAGAACAGACAAAACATGATAAAACTTGGTTTCTTCACTTGTTATGTGTCGCAGTTCAAATTGTGCCTTACAAATTGCAAACCAACCATCTGCTGCCGTGTGCATAAAGACTGGGATTTTGACTGATATAGCTGCTGCGTTTTCTTCCATTTTAGTAACTTACGATAAGGCAACAAAAAGGAGGAAGATAAAAGACAAAGCAAGACAATAAAACAAAACTCTGCTGGATGAAATGTATTTGTGTTAATAATTTTTTTTTTTTTTTTTTTAGTGTGTGTGTGATAAAAGGATGAAAGCAGTTACTAACGTATTTTTTCTCTTTTTTTTTTTTAAGTTTTTTTTTTTTTTCAAGTTTTACACAGCACGTGTATGGCTACAGTAGCCAACTTGACCTGTTGTAGTGGTGGAAGGATGGTAAGCCAAGGATTGGTAGTGGGGAAGCAAGCAAAGTCACATGGGGTTAAAAGATTGTGACAGTTAATGTATACTCAGTGTAGGAAGGTTAAATTTTTTTTTTTCGTCCCCAAAAACTTGTGTAGATATCACGTCGGGGTCACCATTGTGGATGTTATGGCTATTAGTGCTGGGTTGATTCTTTCACCTAAACATCCAAAAACTTGTTGAATGCCTTCGTCGCTGAAATAAATTGACAAAGAAAAGACGGAAGGATACAGAGACACTAGAGGGACAGTTTAGGACACTGATTTTATTTCCTTCTTCTGGATTCCAACGAGCTCTTGTTGGGGAATTTCTTCCCGAACAGTTGGCATGTGTTTACCAGTCAAAGGTCCAACCAAGAAAGAGATAGATTCTTCTAGTTTATCTTTGGCGCCAGGAAATCTCTCTTTTTTTGCACATGCGTAAATTGTCTTTCCTGTCAGAGGACTCCTGGAAGATTTTACTGTTTATTTAATTTTGTATTTTTTATTTTATTTTGTACTTTTATTTTATTTTGTATTTTTATTTAATTCCCACACATGTATGTTTCATGACTATCAGTCCCTTTACAGCAACTCCTCATACTGAGTTCAAATCTAAAATTTCTAACCAACATATTTACCAAAATATGAAACTGCAAAAAATAACTTAAATGATAAAGCATATTAAAAATATAGTTTATTAGTTTTTTACCTTCAAGTGTTCTGCTGAATTTGATTTAATGTAGGAATTTACAATAGAATACTAGATTAAAATTCATATTTATATGAAATTTAATTAGAAAAAAAAGGGAAAATTCTCATCTAAAAACTATTGTGTACAATGTATAAATCTGAGATATTTGATAGAGAAGATATTTACAGTTGTTCAAAATATAAACAATGAAAATGTGGAGGAAACACTCAATTGGTGGGAAAAAAAAAAGAAAGAAAGAAATACAGTTTTACAAAGTTGAATTTCATTAAAACTTTCTATACTTATTTCGGCAGTTATAAGATTTCTTTCTAAAAATATTTTTGCATAAATTTTTTATATTAATAATCCTGCTGAATGAGTTTTGTGAAATCTTCAATTCAATTTAAATATTAACTTTTAAGTATTTGAAAAGAGTTCCTTGGAGAGAGAATTTTAATCACATGAAGATTCCAAATGTTTTATAATGGAAGTCTAAAAACTGGAAAAATATTCTTTTGTTGGGTAATTTATCAGTTTCATTCATTAAATTATATTTGGGACTTATAGCATGTACAGTGAAAATATTCTCACAAATTTTTTGTGTTATTTTCAAAGAATATGCTAATAATTTGAATATTTTAAAATTCACTTCAATTTGTCTTTCACCTTAATTTTGGGAACAAATTTTTTTTTTTTTTTTAGGAAACAGGAAAACTATTCTATTTTATTATTATTATTAATAATGATGATGCAGATGTACCAAAAACTTAAGATAAATATGTAAAGGAAATTATAGGTGGCACCACTGTATCTTGAAGTTATAAAAATATCCAGACCATTATCAGTTGTGCTCTGGGAAGTCAATATGAGTATGATCTAGACAGCCCACAGCGGGTGATGTAATTACCAGAATTTGAATGGGGGCATGATAGTGGGTGCCAGATGCATGGAACATTCTATTTCTGAAATTGTGGAGACATTCAACATCTCTTGATCTCAGGTATGCACTGAAAATACCTAATGAAAAACAATATTGGTTACTGTGGAAAGTGCAATTGCCAACCATGGGTCATTAATGAACATGACTTGAAACATCCACAGTAATAGCGACACGGGCTCAGCTAATATTCCTCTTCAATCCAAGAGGAATAGCAGATGCATATCCAATAGGTCAGGTCAACATCTGGTTTGCTGATATGGGATACAGGAGTATTTTTTCAGGCCAATGGTAGTGTTTGGGTGTGGTGTAGAGACCATGGAATCCAGTAGACACAAAGGCACTATGCAGGCTGGTGGTAGTTCCATAATGGTGATGAGGTGTTCATGTGATATAGTTTATGTCTGCTGATACCCTTAAACA